ACCCACCTGCACAGAAGACAGGTTTTAAACTACATTTCATTACTATATACTTGCTCATTAGGCACAAACTTTTCTCAGGAAAAGCACTGAAAAGGAAAAGTTACTATAGATAAGCTGTTACACAAACAGCAGGAGAAAATAATCATATTGACACAAGGTATTATTTATAATTCATCAAGTAAGAAATTACCACAAAATCAATTTATCCTAGCTTGCAAATAAGCATGGTTGGTTTGTCTTGGCATTTATCTAACTGCAGGATATCATTAAGCTTTAACAACTTTCCAGTCCACTGGTATTCTTTCTCCAATGTCTGCACTCCACAAACCAGTAACTCCCACAGAACATGCATACTGTGAAAGACTGCTCTTTTCACCAGCCTGCTAAGCAGTATTAAAATTGCATGGGCTCCTTCAGCCAACATATTGTGCTTTACACTGACCTTTAAATTCCAAATTCATTAGCAGAATACCAATGAAGAAAAAAAAAAAAATATGTATACATATATCCTTAAGGGCTCTACTATATAGATTAAAATTTATCACACAAATATCATGTACTTATGCACTTTCTGATTACACAGGATATCTGAAAAAGAGAGTGATGAGAAAGACTATCACAATGCAATGTAATTTTTAAAGTTTGCTCTAAACAGTACTTAAGAACATCTTCTGCCATGAAAGGTATCAGTATCATTTCAACTACACTTAATGAAAGATTTTCTGTACTAATGTTGTGACTAAATTAATCCCAAAGCTTTAAAAAGAATTCAAGATTAGTGATGATCTAGTGAACCAGAAGCTAATACACATCTGTATGAAATTGTACTTAAAGACGTGAAAGTCCACAGGTTTACTTCTATGAACAACTACTAATGATCTATTTCAAAAGGCATGTGTTTGAAGGGTAACACAGTAACTTTTTGCAGAATGAAGACTTCATGTGATGAATTTAAATTCTACCTGATCTGGTATGGGTTGTAAGTTTCAATTTAAAATTCACATATGCGACCACAAGTTGAATCCTGAACTCTGGATAAAAACCAGGCACTTCCTTCACAATCCTTGGAAAGTGCAATAGGGCTTCAAAGTGGGATTTACAAAAGCCAAGATCATTGAGCAGGTATTTACCTTCTGCTTAGTGCTAGTCAAAAAGAATCATTCAGTACAAAATACTTTAAAATCCACACTTTCTCCCAAGCAAGTTAACAGAATTATATTTATATATGAGGAAATGCCTTCTAACCAAGGATCCAGAAGCTGTGTTTTCTCAGCAGCAGCAATCTCTAGCCCTTCTTACAGCACAAAGGTGGCATCCTTAAAGATCTACACACACCTCAAAAGGAACAAGGCCTCCTCTTTTTCTACTAGATTAGTGTAAAAACTAGCTTAAGTTGTAGGAAAACTATGTTCCAGTCTCTCTTTCACCTGAGAGGATTCAAATGTCCACAAAGGTAATAAACAAACCTGCTATTCTTGGATGGGATAGATTCATCCCCAGTTCCGCCGGCATGTTTCACCCTATAAAATACCTGAATGTACTGGGTCAGTCGTAGCACAACTGCAGCTCAGTAGGTAAGCCAGACAGCTGGGGACATGAGATACAGTCCCCAGCCTCTCCTCTACATCCCTCTCCTATACATCCTTCAGACTTTGCATCCTCTCCAACAGAGGAGGGCAATTTCAGACAACTGGGAAAACTGAAGCGCTTGTTGAACAGAGGTGCATCCAAAGCTCACTGCTGGGCAGTTTAATTTTTGGATTTGGGTAACCAAAATGAAGCATGAATAGAATTTAGGCACCAATATTTTCTCAAAAGGTAATTTTCCTAAGTGTCACACCGATGCATCAATGGACACGTATGAGGAAGGTTATGCAAACCAACCTGTGCCTGCCCTCGATCTAGTTCTGGGACTTCATCTTTCACTGCTATAAAGAAGCTGTTCCTTTTACCTCAGGGACAGAAGGAAGAAAGGCTGAAGGCTGTGACCACAGCCATAAGGTAACATTAGGTGAAACAATGTTTTATTTGAACCCTACTTGGACACACCTGCATCACAGAAAGCGCTGTAGCAGTTCTAGAGTTCTAGTTCTTTTAATAAAGTCCAAATATAATTTGGTAAGTACAGAAAGACAATTATTATATTATCTCAGAAGGTAATTTTCCCAAGTGTCACACTGATGCATAAATGGACACGTCGGGTGAGGAAGGTTATGCAAACCAACCTGTGCCTGCCCTGTATATATGCTGTGAACAGCAGTGGAAATTTAGGTCTCCTCCAATTTGCAATAATTTTTAACATAATTTTTTTGACTTGTTCTTTGACAAAGATCTCCAAACAAAGCACTGCAACTGATATTAACATTTGTCATTAGTTTGCTGCTGTCTTAAAAAACTTTTAAAAAATCTCTTCTGCATCTTTAAGTAACTCTAAAGAAGGAATCCTGCCAAAGGACCTACACGTAGGCTAAACATAAACTCATTCTGTTAGTAGAAAAAATAATGTTTTCTGAATTAGGGAATTAATATAAAATAAATTTAATTTAAAATGTTTTTTATATAAAGTTATGCGAGAAACTTTAAATGATGAACAATTTTCTGCCTAAAAAAATTTTGTAACTAAACAACTTATATTTTAACCATTTTTCCTTTCATCAGAAAAGCTGCTTTTCCTTCCTTGCACAAGCTGACTGGAAAAAGCTTGCTATATAAAGTATTTACCAAACACTTCTTGTCTTGCAAAGCTCAAGTGTCATCATACTATTTCCAACTCATCTATTATGATTGCCACCATCACATAAAAAAAATATTCAGCATAGAAAATCTTTTTCCTTTACAGTCAAGGGATTTATTCTCCAGGAACCACACATACTCTTCCCACCTCTCCATGAATCCTTTATACATTGCCAGGATAGACCTCCTCAGCCCCAGGCTTCAATAAATTAAATAATAAAAATTAAGTATAATGAAATAATTTAATATCTTCTAAAGATGTTGACATATTTTTCCTTGAAAACATATTTGAAAATACTTCTAAACATGTGTACTGTTAAAAAACAGGCTCTAACAAAGCAGTATTTATATAATTCCACATATGGAAAAGACTGTAATTTATTCTCACCTGCAGGTCTGTGATTGACATCTGATACTCTACATCTCAAAATTCAGTACATGAACAAAGTTAATGTCATTTATGTGAAGTGAATGTAATATTACCTCCCCAGTCAGTTCATGTTGTGATGAATTGGTTAGCTGGTGTTATTAGGACAGTCTACAAAACAATGCCTTTGCTTACTTACAAAGTCTAAACCAAACCTGGTTGTCAAGCATGTTAAGCAAAACTGATCAGTCAAATCAGATTTAATCGACGATTTTAAGACATTCCTAGAAATAATACCTACTGATAGAATGTGAAATACATGCTTTGGGCAACAAAATATATTGCATTGATCAAAGCTGGTTACATAAAAAGGCTTAACCAACCATTGCAAAAGAGGTCATCATATCCACTAATAAATTTCCAAACTCCAGGACCACAAATTTAGCCCTAATTCAGAAACAGTGCATAAAAACTAGAGTGTTAACTAAACTGTGATTTAGTTAACAACTGAGTTTTACATAATTAGATAAAGTTAGATACTTTCCTCTTTGCAAAACTAGTGACCACAACAGCAAGAAACAAATATCAGTCTTATGACTGAACAAATGTGGAGAGGTAAAACACGTAATGGGAGGAGTGTGTATGTTTCAGATTGCAAAAAATACAGCACATTATTCACATAGTTAGAAAAAAACAAGCCAATTACGAAGATGTTTAATTGGTAAAAGTTTAATGTCCACTTACTTATAAAAATGAAAAAATATTTTAACATTCACCATACAATTGAGCAACCTGGCCCTACTGACTATTAGCTATAGGAAGGCATTTAAGGAAATGATGGTTGTGTCAAAACAAAGGCTAACTTCAGGCATGTATGCTGCTTTAAAAAAAAAAAAAAAGAAAACAAACCCCAAAAAACCTCTCATTTGCAGGAAGCTAGATGCTTAGCCTAGTTTTTAAAGCTAATTACAAGATCTTCTTTCATACTGGTCCAGATGTCTTGACAATTTCTTCTTCTAACAGAACTGTCAAAAGAAAAGAATTTTTATGAGATCTTCATATAGCTCATTTCTAAACCTTTGAAAGAAGAAACAGAAATGCAACACCATACACAGGATATGGAAATTACTAGTTAAAGCATTTGCTTATATCATAACTGTTCCTTCACTCAAGCATCTTCATACAGACACTTTCGTAACTGCCACCTTACAGAAGGTCTTAAGAACAAATGAACTTTTCCAGGTACTGCAAACAATTTCTAAGCTTTAAAAACTATGTAGAGATCTTGAAGTATAGATTTGAACAATATTCAGTAATAAGATATATAAAACAAGATGTACAAAAGAATTTTTTATGCAGTAATCTTAACGTGTGCTGTGCAACATGGTTCCACAGAGCTGCAGCATTCTTAACAGAAAAATAATGGAATGAGGGTACCATGCTTCATATTACATGCTATCACATCTTAAGTTGTAAATTTTACAGGCCTTTATTTCAGTCTTTCTCCACTTTACTGGACTACCAGTGTACCTCAGAAGCTTTTATAATTTACATTTCCTGAACTTTAAAAAAAAAATTTAAAAAAATTAAATCAAATCAAGTTATTACTGTCCCACACTTATCCTGACACAGGAATATGACAGCAGTCATCTCTTTTTTTAATCCCTCCTTCTTTTCAGGGTATCAAAAAAACCCCAGAAAAAAAAACCCAAAAAACAACAAAAGGTATAGAAAGGCCTATTCCACTCATAGGAGCAGAGATTAAAAATAGTTAGGAGTATCTTCGGGTGAAGAAAGAGAAAACACAGTAACTAACCTGCCACTACTTTGTATAGCAAAGCGGTATTGTAACTAAATTGACATCTAACAACAACTAAGTCAAGGTCCCGACTTCTCTTCCCCTTTGCCACCACCCTACTCGTGCAATCTTACACTTTCAGTCTAAAATACTTTTGTAACTTAAAGCTATTTTGCAGTATCAACGTGTCCTATCATTAATGAGCTAAGGAATAAAAAAGTCAACTGAAACTCATTTGTCATTTACCAAAATTAAGCACAGAGCCTTGCTGTCTGCTAGCAAATACGCAGAGCAGTCTCACAGTCTTACCTTCCATCTGTTTCCACATTCATTACAAACCACAAACGTTGTCATGGGTTCATCAGCACTGCGAGTTTGAACCTATGGCAAAGGCAAGAGCCAGGGTGGAAAAGGAAAATTACTGTCTTCAACTTCTCTTAGTATGCATTCAATGTAAAGGTTTAAAATCAAAGCGGAACGTCTGGATAAAAATAAAAGTTAACTTCCCATATCCACTGAAATTGTTTTTGTCTAGACTACAAAGCAATCATAAACTTATGTTTTGACAAATTTAGTAGCACTAAAATATCAATTTTGGTGTAGAAACTGTGCACATACTTCTTGGAAAAGATTCTCCATTAAAACTACACATTCAGTACAGATTTACGTGTATTGACTGATGCAAAGGCATCATCATGAGACTTTTAAAGTCTCATGACTGAAAAACAGCTTTCTACTTAAAGTATCTGATATACAATATTAAATTATAAATGCAGCTCATCCTATGATCAAAATTACATGCCCTGAAGCACTGCTGAACAAATTAAAGCCCTTCTTGCACATATTTCCATTTCTAAAAATGGTAGATTATATATATAGAAATATAAATGTGCATATATGTATAAGTATTTTATACATATGTTATCATTATTTTCTGCTATTTATTCCCTCTGTAAAGAAAAGTTTACACACATTAAAACCAGTAAATTAGCTCTCCTCCACATAAAACCACATTAATAAGATGTAATAAGAAGAACTGGCAAAAGCTCAGCATTACAAAGAAACTGACACTTCACACTATATTGATACTCAGCTTGGATTTACATAAAATCTTTGTTAAATTAACACAACAAACATTCTTTACATAAGCACACCTAAGTGGACCAAGCTATCTTAATATATTTTCTAATTTGTTAGCATTTTGTTAAAAATTCATTTTGTAATTAAAACTTCCTCTAACAATCTTTATACAGGACTTAAACTTTGAAAAAGGAAAATGAAGAGTCTGAATAACCACGTACCTGGGTGTAGGTACAGTTCTTCTTTTTGCACTTGCCACATGTAAACAGATCAGTCTGGGTACCCCCTGTTTTAGCCATCTGGTGCTCTCTGATAGCTTCTTTGGTCAGATTTTTGCGCATTTCTTTCAGCTCATCACTTGCCATTTCCTGTTATGGACAAAGAGCAGACAGAGTTTACTAGAGAGTTTTACTTTTAAACAAGTTGTTACCACTGTTGCGAGCCTGTACCATTTTTTGTTTAGAATCCATAAACAACAACTCTACTGAAGGGTAAGGTAATTCTACTCATTTTTAATTTTACAAGACTTAAGTTGGGATATTTTATAGCACAGAAGCTACAAAAAGTTTATTTTTCCCCCCCTGCAGGTGGGAAAAGAAAATCAGTCAAAGTTACACTAGCGAACATCTAGAAACTTTTCTATGCAAATGCATTTCTGAAGTTCAAAAATGTAATACAGAGACAAGGTAGAGAAGACTTAAAAGTTTTCCAGAGAGGATGAAAAACATCTTCTCCCTGGGTTAGATCCTGGTGTGATTATCTCAGTGACCTACAGAACATTATTATAGGAAAAAATTACACTATTTTGACTATTTCTATATTTGTACTGAGAAATACAGTATAGCCATAATTTACCATATGTTACCAGAATTCATCTACACTCAGTTCCAAAACAGTAACCAAAGAGCTCAGATTCACTGAGCCTTCATTTTTCGTCTAAAACAGTTCTAGTGTGCAGGATCTCTACAGTGTATGAAAATCAAGTGTGCACAGCAAAAAAGTTGTTCCATTTTTCTTCAATACTCCATATCCCATAAAGACATGGAATGCAAATCTTGTATTGACACTATTTCACTTTAGAAGTCATCTTAACATTAAGAAATTTTTTAGCTATTAAAATTTTAATCCAAGACATTAATTAAAACAAAGAATGGGCACTGGATAACACAGAATGTATGTCTGTACATATGCACATACATACAAATAGAATGTAAAAACTCAAAATACGTCCAGAAGATAAAAATCCACTTTTCTTTAAACATTCCTTTATCAGGCTGTTTGCCCTAACCTTTACATAAAGCTATAGAAAGAAAAAAAATATCCTTTAGAATAAAGCTAATCATGATTTTCATTACTTGATCACAAACTTAATTTCTTTCAGTCTCCATGGTAGTCCTTTATACCTGATTTGGAGGGGTAGAAAACAACACATACAAGAACTACAAACCTGAAACCAGATGTTAACCGTGCTTTCACTTTTCTCTCCCATAAAACGACTTCATAGATTTATTTTGATTCATAAAGACAGCAAGCATGTGAATGGGAATTTCTATTCAAGTGTCCAAAATGTTCTTTCAATAACATAAATTTAATCTTATTTAACGGGCAATTCTCCTAGCTTCTTTCCCCTATCATTTATGGCTTTTTCTATTTATTGTTAAGAGTTTCCTTCGAAATCACTTGAAGTATTCTTGTCCAATTTGAGATAAGCATTAAATAGACACTGAAAATGCCAACAGGAGAGGACTGATCTTTAAAACCATAGTGCTGTACCTCACGTAGGAGTGTAACAGCAGAGGTTAGCATTTGGAAAACAAATGGCAAGACAGGGTAACACTTACATATCCAGAAAGGAGCAGCTTGGAGTCACTAGCCACATGTATTTACATCTTCCTAAACTTAAAAAAAAACTATCACCAATATATCATGTGGCTTTTTAAAAACCACACAACACAACGTGTTTCAGGAAATTTACATGTGACAGCTTACTTGTTTTCTGACTTACAGGATGTTTAGGAACCATTAACAGACACCACTTTCCCAACTGTCCCAACACAACCCTGAAATTCAGACTGTGCAAGCCACAAAAAAGCCACAGTCTTTCAAAAGTGAGGGCAGCTTACAGGAATTATTTTTAGAGCTAATAAATACAGGCCAGGATGTAAGCCCAGTAGTGAAATAGTTCAAGACCTGTGCTTTACTCACCTCTGCTGTCATTTTGGCAAACTTGTCAGGAGGAATGTTCCCACATAACACATTTTTCCTTAGGTTAGGATTCTTTGCATCCTTGAGATTTGCTATTCTACTTCGTACCCTATTTTTGTATTTCATATCAGTGTTTTTTAATTCTTGAAAAATAGGTGCTTTGGATTTAAGGAACAAAACATTACCAAGTAAAATCAAACACTAAAAAAGGACTGATTTTTTGAGGCAACTTTTCTAAAGCTGTTCTCCGTTGTTAATCAAGTCTTTCCCCCGATTCAACCAGTTACTTTCCTGTTCAACAGACCAGACTTCATGTCCTTCTGAAGCCTGATTGTAGTTTAGCACATGGTCAGTGAAGCATTAATTTTTGGATAGCAGGATCTCAATTGAAATTGTGAAAAAAAACCCATAAATTTATCCCCAGTTCCTTGATGTCATCCTGAGGATCACCTGATTTCTAAACCAAATATTCGAACACTGGCAGCTCAGTGACAGAATTTTAAAACAGGTTTGCAACAGATAACAGTAATAGTGGCTGACTGCAATTACTGAATAACATTAGCAAGTTAGAATAACGAAGCTTAGACTGTTTCTATGCTTAAGAATACCCTCACAAAAAAAAAACAACCCCACAACAAACCTAAAATAAAAAAAGCTCAGACCTCTGCTCTGTAACTATTCAAATACTGCTACCAGCACAATCCTTTTGAAAATTCCAAATTCATTTATAAAAACACTTGTAGAAAATTAAAGACATTAGAAAAATATTAAAACTGACAAGAAAAGATGTTAAAATCACATAGAAGAGTCCAGCATTTTATGTCAGAATGCTTCAGAAAGATATAATATTGCTGCTGCAAGGAAAACATACTGCACTGAAAAAAACCCACACACACTCACCTACCTACACACATTCCTACATGTTTTAAAGAAAATAATTTAGGTTGTGCTGTTCTTTTAAACACTAAATGTCTAAACTGATATGTTGAACAGAGTTTGATATTTCTGTTTTAAATGAAATTTTAAAATATTAAATATCTAGATCAAGTTAATTAATTTTAATATTATCAGTGCTTTTAAAAATACTCTTGTTCTAGAGCACATAGATGTACAACAAAGGATATCTTCTTCAATCTGAGAACCCAGCTCTTCCTCATCAGCACCAATAGCAATGTAATCATCTGAGGAGAAAAAACATTGAAATATTAGAACCTGACAATCTCATCAGTGTTCTATATCCCTGAGAGCCCATTTGAAACTCTGAAACTCAGCAAATTATGAAACAGCTGCAGTGAATTTTCCTTTCATATAAGAAAGTTTAATTTACTGTATATTTAACCTTTCAAAACTTTGTTAACTTACTCCTTGGAAGAACAAAAAAAATGAAATGAAGAGCAATGGAAGTTTAGAAAAAGTAGAACAACCCTAAATCTTTCACAAAAACAAAAATTCTGACATCTAGTTGCAAACACAAATAGTAACAAAAAAACTCTGCCATACAGAACAATCTTAAATATTCTAATAGGCTTGGCAAATATTAATCTCTACAGCATACATGCACAGAATAGACTATTATAAAAAGAAAACATTTTGTATTGTGTTTCATCAGTTCTTTCAGTCCACACAATACAAGCATAAGCAACTAATGTTTCCCATGCATACAAGAGAAATATTTCATTAGAAACATAGTAATTAAATAACAGAAACAATATTATTGGATATTTTTTAAAAATGCAAAGTAGAGATGTGTCATAAAACATGAAAATTCCAAGAAACAAACCACAGCAAACTTGAAGACAATACAGCACTTGACCTAAAATATCACAAGATAGTTGTTTACTTTTTCTGACCAAAACTCTTACTTAAAGACAGCTGTCTTTCCAAGATAACTTAGGATAAGTTAGATGTATGTGTTTTCCTCCTTCTCATTTTAACATGAGTGTACTTCAATGAGTAATCTAAATACCATTTCTCCTCTGACCTCATGCAGCAGGTCATAAAAACAGAAAATAACCTTATTTTTTGAGACTGGCATTCAGTCCATGGATGATCAGTTTATATTTGCTGTAGAAAGTAACATGGCAAAAAGTGTTCTTTAAAAACTAGCTGAAATTAAGACTACACAGAATTATGAATACTAAGATGCTATATGCAACTTTCTGGTCACAAGTTATTTTAGAACTCTATGAACTGCATATCCAGAGGACCACAAATTCATGGTCTTTTATCAGCTTTGATTACTGTCTGTATCTGAATATACATGAATTAAAAGAAAGAATAAGAGAGTGAAGAGGGTAAAAATGGATGATTCAGAAGTCTGGTTACACTGGGTCAAGTTACACTAAGAACAAAGGAACAGGAGCTGGATCATAAGTTCAGGTAGAAGAGAAGGACCAACAAGAAAAAATTCAGGTGATTCTGAGGAATTCAACTTCTAGTTTGCTCCTTATCTAGCACATCATTCAACTCATCAGTTTAAAGACACACAAGTGTACATGAAGGGGAAAAATAAAAAACCCCAAAACAGTCAAGGAATTTACAGATGTCCAAAAGGCACAAAGACAGAGCAATGCAAGACTCTCTTACCGTGACTCTCTCAATGAAACTTCCAAGATTAAATCAAAACAGAAAGGCAGCCTTCAAAAACCAAAATCTAAAGGCCCACAGGATCACCAGTCTAAGAAAGGCAGGCATGTATATAGTAGCACTCTCAGTCAGAGATAAGGCAAAAAAAAATAGTAGCTTCCAAAAAAAAGATTTAAATGTGGCATTAAGGAGGCAATAACCTTCCTGAAAAGAAGTTCCACTGTAGGCAAGATACCAGATGAACAGAAGTCACAAAATGTCCTGAATCATCAGTAACAAAAATGTATTTCAATACATTCCCATGCTGTCCAGGTTACTCATTGCTTGCAGCTTGGGTGAACTGGCCTATGGTTATATACACACAAATAGACATCAACAGGGTTTATTGTACCTTACAGGGCAGGAGAAGAATAAAGTGGGAAGGACTGAAATAGAGAAGAGGGAAATAGTTAAACTTGAAAATATACTCTACAAAGCTCACCTCCTGTTCTCAGAGCTGCAGAGAGCATTTCTCTACATTTCACTCTTACAGAATCCGAAGTGCTTGGAGCTCGGGGAAAAGAAGGGATGAAAGAATTTGAGGGAGCACTACCCTCCTCCTTCCTGCTGCTGGAATTGCTACTTGAACTGCTAAAAAAAGGCAAAAAGAAAACTAATGTTAATGTTTTATCTCCATCTTCAAATAACTCTGTTCCCGTGCAAAACATGGGTCTTTTGCTTTATCCATTTGATATTTTAAAAAAAAAAAAAAAAAAAAAAGAAGAACACAGGCCACCTTTTTAAAGCTACTTATAGCTCTAGAGTCAATAAAATTTTAAAAGTGTCGTTAGAAGATTCACCAGAGTATTCCACACAATAGTGACACAGCAGGTATTTCATTCCATTATGTGGCATGTAAGTTTTAACTCTCAATTCTCTATATTAACATGAAATCTCCCCTCTCCTCCCCGCCATGGAACTTTCTTTACTTAAAAAACCCGTGAAGATGCATCACACTGACATTCAGTCTGCAGAGAACGAGTTGCATTACTGTACTGAAGTGGTACCATGGTCACGATCAATCAATTAATGTAGCTTTGCAAACTGTAAACCAAAAAGTTTTCAGCTTGCATCAGGACAAACGGCTAAAGGTTAAATTTCAATTTGAAAACGGATGTTGGAAACAGGTTCACTAAAACCAGAAACGTATAGAAGAAATGGGCTTGAGGAGTATCTGATAGATGAGACAGATGGAAAAAAACAACAACTAGTCTGGCCATATCTTGACCTCTGGCTTTCATCTTTTTTTAATGGCAGCAACAGCGGGGTTTACTTCCCTAACAACACACCATTTCTTGTACAACCCTGTGTATTTCAGAAAAGAATGTGGAAGCTGTCTCTAATATGATAAATTTGGACCAAATAGTTTCATGTTAATTTATACTGAGTGAGTTTATTTGTATAGTCATGTAGAATTAAATACCTTTCTTCTCTTGCTTCAGGGCTGTTTTGTGAAGAAGACGCAGGCTCCTTTTTCTTTTCTTCAGAATCTTTATCAGTTGAAGGTCCATCTGGAAATACAAAACATGAGAAACTCTCTTTTAACCAGAAATAGTAACCAATTTAAAGCAGTGGTAAAATATCTTTGATGATTTCTCCTGAACCAGCTGGAAATGGTATCAGCTCCCACTCTCTGCTTTGACCTTCGCTTGCAGTACAGCCTTCCACTCCCCAACATCCTCCCCAGCGTAGCAAATTGAAAATATGACAACACTTCAGATCCTTCAAGACCAGCATCTGCTTAAATTGGCAGTGAAGATATGACGAAAATGGAGACTTCTAGGATTTATTTTTGCCAACTCTGCTGTATGAGGTAGACAATAACTTCTTAAAACTCAAGTTTTAACTTGAGTACTTTAACTTTCTAACTTCTTAAAAATCAAGTCTCCAGAATTTGTCTTCTGTGTTTTAAACATAAGTTCCTACTAAATGCATGTCATTCCTTTTAATTATATTCACAGGATTTCTACCAAAGGACTGAACCAAATGAAACATTGGTGTGAAAGTTACCACGGTTGCCAAAAAATATAATTTTCATATGCTTTTGAAGGAGTTTTCCAGACATGCACACAGTTTTTTCTCTGATAGCTCTTAAATTATTTGCCTTAGTGTTTAAAAATATTCGAACTTGCCTTTCCCATACAGGCTATGCTTAATGATGATTTTATAAAGAATAAAGATGAAAGCCTTTATTAAAAAGGGCAATCACAACATTTAACTTTAGCCTAGCAAGAATACATGCAACCTTCTATTGTAAAGAGGAAGTCAGAGAGGCTAAATTGAGCTTCTGCTTTGATTTGCTCTCCAGAAAGGCTGACTCTCTCCACTGCCTACAGAGAAAGCCTAGCAAAACTGGCACCACTCACTGACAGATTTTGTGAATTCCTCTCTCTAAACCCTCATAAAGCTACCGTTACACTTCTAAAATCATAGACTATATTGGGATAAGCACATAAAACAAACTTTAAAAAGAACTAAAAACAGATCAAGAAAAGGAGGGAAATCTGATACAGCTCAGTCTTTCCCATGAAGATGTCCTGAGCTAGGTAACTAAATCCTTGGTTAAGTATCTAAAAGTATCTTAATTTCCAGAAAAGCCCCATTCCTGCATTTCTCAGGGGAACCTGGTGGTATGGAACACACAAATTCAGGTACAGAACTTTTTTTTACCCTAGAGAGTAAAAAATTACTGTACTAGCTTATTTTTGATAGCAACAATTTACATTTAAAACTATACAGAAAAGATATTAAACTGAACAGGATTTTGATCCTTACCTTAACTTTTGAGTTATTTATCAAATCAAATACTACTTTGTTAAAAAATCATCATCATAAAAGGAGACCAGAGACAGCTATATTGGATCAGACTAAGCACCCATCTACTATCTGTCCCCATCTGTACCCAAAAATAAATGTCTACAAAAGAGCATAGTAGCCAGGCAAGCACACAAAGATACTTCTCCAGAATATTTCCCCAGCCTTCAAGGTCTTAAAAGCTTAGAGATTTCATCTCACCCATTGTTTGTAACCACATATTCAATCTTGATAAATTTCCCCATTAGAGAAAAAAAGGAAAATTAAACACAGTAGATGATGCACAGATTGTCTTTAATAAGCCAAAGGTATTATTCAAAAAATCCTAACAAAGATACCAATTTATTAACTATTATTCATAAAAAAGTAATTTCACTAAGAAAGTAAATGAGGCTATAAACTGAATGGATCACAGAAGTTCTTTGCTATGACACCTAAAGTGTACAATACTACAAGAAACAAAACAAATCCAATTTTTAACGTGCATATTCATGTGACTACTCTATGGTAACAAATGCTTACAAGAAATATAATTTTAAAATATTCTAAATATGCATGTAATCTCATTTATCATCAATTTTTTAAGCACATGATCATTTTGTCAGAGGCTTTAAGACAAACTGATGTATCAAACAGATGTATCTTGGGGTACAGCTCCGGTTCTGCAAAGCAGCATGGCTGCCTAAGAGCTGAGCTCTGCTTCAGCCCATTTACCTCTGTGGTTTTTTCCTGGCACACAAATTCAGAGCAGACCTAGGTATCTCCTGCTTATTTTGCATCAAATACACCACTATGGTACAGCTGGCACCCAGTTTTGGTTTCTCAGACACTTCCATTTAGGCCAGCACCATTTCACCAGAGAAGGCAGGCACCTGAGAACATCTGCCAATAACCCCATTGCTTCTTTCACTTACAGAGGGCAGGGTACATGTGAAGCATGGGCATAAAGCAAGAGGTAAAAGCACAGTTCTTCCTACACCTGCAGACCAGTCTAAGAAAGCATGTCTCAAAACAAGGTCAAACTTCAGCAGCTGAGACAACTGGACCACCTTCAGCAAATGTCAACTTTAATCACTTAGAAAAGAGTTTATAGATTATTTTTTTTTTTAAATCTCATTTCAAAAATCTGAAAATAAAGTGAACAATATTCTCTCTTTGCTTAAAATATTCTCCTAAGTATTTAAGTCATTCACTCTTATTGATCCTAAACTGGAAAGCACTGAAGAGAGGAGATCCAGTGTCAAGCAGTATTTATTCTTAAACTCGCACATTAATAAGAATTCCTTATTTTATTAAAAGACTGTATTGACAAAAGAACAGAATGCAATTAACAGGCTGACAGCATTTTAACTATCCTCTGGGGAAAGGAAAAAAAATATCCTTGAGAAACTACAAGTCCCTACTAATTAACTTATTTTACACTCAATAGGCAGACTCTAACATAAAGGAAGAATGACAGCTAACAGGAACTACAAACACACACAGAAATTCTAACAAAGAAAGATAGAAAGAAAGGCCCTTCTGTGAAAGATATTTTAAAATTCCAATGAGCAAGTGACTCATGTCAGGAAGTCTATAGAACATCATAATATTACAATAGTATAAATTACAAGTTGCTTTAAAGAGGCGCAATTACTTTATCAATCAGCTTCATATAGCTATTAAAACGTACCAACATTTTTTTCAGAAACAAACTGAAATCATAATCAATTTTAGGATCTAAAATTGTAACTTCACAGTTTCAGCTACTGCAGCTTCAGAATGCCATTAAAAAAAAATCTTTAAACTATTTATTTAAATAACATGCTAAATTATATTAATTTATAAAAAAGCTTTATATAAGCTTCTTGAAAATACAAAGAACAAGCTAGTAACATGAACTGACTATTAGCCATTGGAATAAGACTATTACATTCTGACTACTGCACTGCAGTTTCTATCTGGGACTTCCAATTAATTTGAAAGAGTTCTACCTTTTCCAGTGACATAATCTCTCCAGGGTAAAATATGGCATGAGAGTGTTCTTTGTTACCAGAAAAAAATTTTTAATGTAAAAATAAATGGCCAGAGATAACATAATTAATCTGAATGTTAGAAGACAATAGCTTCATCACAGATTCTTCTAATTATAATTATATTACAAGTGAACTCAAGACATTTGATAGTAACAAGAAAAAAGAAAATAAAAAGATGTAATGTTATTAATTTATAAATTTAACTTTAAATTACAAAATTTTCTAAAGTGAGAATTTTGCAGAAATATTAATGAAAGGTGGCTAGTTATTTCCTGGAAGCACATGAGAACTTAACTTAGTGAGTTACCATATGTTGCTGATTCAGCTATCACCACCAAAACTTGGAAAGTCTTCTGAGTATTCAGTTTAAACAAGTTAAATGAAAGAGGTATGAGAACAGGTAACAGATGGCATAGTCACTAATTTAACAATGACCCATATACTTAAAAAACTCTTTCAGGTCCATTTTCCAGACCCTGACCAAAATAATCTTGAGAATCACAAGCAGCTACACTTGTCAGCAATTCCTCTGCAAGATGTAGTTAAGACATGAAGGTAAAATCAGAAAAGCTTCTTGCTAGTAGTAGCATAGGGAGAAATAATATCTAAAATCTATTAATAAACAATAAAATAATTGTTTGTCATTTTTAAATTTTTTTTATCATAAGTGACAAAAGAGCATGACATTAACTTCTTTGCTATACATGTTTTTTTTCTTTTATATGAGATGTACAAGTACGATGTAATTTGCATCATGTGTTACCATCTCTTCATTGATAATCCTAACAAATTAGAGAGCCACTAATTGTACATGGAACAGTTCTAAGTATATATTTGACAGGAGGTGATTTCCAAAGCTCATACTTGATACGGGTATGAAACTACTGCAATTACACTTTGCACTTGACTCTACTTGGTAGGTTACAAAGACATGTACTCTTCTTACCAACAGTAAACTTAAACACTCTTACATACCATTAGACTGTAATTTAGGAGCTTGTTTTGTCAACAACAATGTTTTTTAATATAAAGGAACACTCCTCAACCTAAATGGGTATGCAGAGATTCATTACCTGCATAGCATACTCTATATACTCAGCTATTGGCAAAACAATCATTATTTGTAAATCCTATGCTATAATTGAATAGTATTGTATTTTATTCTGAGAGCATAATTTGCTTCCTGATGTAAATTGTCATCAATTCAGCTGTGTGGTTTAACATCCTTACAGCAACATCTGAAAGTGATCTTCCACTTTAGCTCACTCAGTGAGTCACTTCAGACAACTCTTGCAAGCCCTCGGTTGGGCAGCTTCCAACCCCCCTGAAAAACTATCAGTAACCTGGCATGGCTCTGGTCAAGCCATAAACATCTGGTGGTTCACAACCTTACTTTGATTTCTTCTCATGTTGTCCATGCATTCTTAAAATGTAAGTTCCGATAGCACTGAACTTAAACAGCACATGCAGCCTGAACAGCCGACAATTCTTGCCTAAATTCAAAATGTCATTTATAAAAATAACTCACAAAGACTTCAGATCTCTGAGTACAATGCTTGGTAGGATTAACAGCTGTCCGCTTCTGTTGCCATCTTTGATCCATACCATTTTACATGCACTATAAACAGCATAAGCGAAACTGACTTCTCAGCAGCTCAACATACGGTATTTCGTGTTCTTCTGAGAAAGTCAAAACTAATGACAAAACAGAATAAGAGTACTTTGTAAGGTTCCCACCCACACTTCACACAGTCCAGATACTCTATCTTCCACAGTTATGAGACTTTAAGTTCTAATGAATTACTGAGCAGTGAAATGAGAGGTGAAACATTTGCCCTACTATGCTTTATTACAAGGTCTATGTTACAATCAAGAATAATTTAACTACATAGTATGAATACAAGCAGTGCTGTATTTTCAGGAATAATATGATTTTATATAATAAGTGCACAACCACAACTACACTAGACCTGGCACAAAAATGTACACACAATAATATCTGCCCTGTAACAAAAATCAGAGCACGAACAAAGGTCACATACCCACTGCCTCAAGAAAAAAAGTATTCAGTTCTGATTAATGTCCAACATTTACTATTTACTTTCCAGTTCCCCACGTTTGACTTCGCCTGATGCACACAGCCTTAGGTAGAGTCTCACAACTGTCTTAAAACAATCTGAATTTAGCAAGCCATCAGAAGGGTCCATCTTGCCCCAGCTGTACGTTACTGCTGCAATCCCTGTGCAGGAAACAGTAACTGCAAACAGGCTGGACCAAAAATCTGATACAGTTTAAATTTAAGCCAGAAGAAATGAAAAAAACAATTAGTTTCAAACTGGTCAGTTCCCAGCTCTAGCCTCCTGGATAGCCACTTGAGCACTAGTTGCAGCACAGGAGGGAGCAAGGAGGCACCTGTGGAGAAAGGAAGCCAGGACCATTCCTTTCAGCAGCAATGAAATTGACCTGCCATGACCACCAGGCCAGGGTCCTTTTCCAGACTTCTACAGCATGAACACTCTCTGGTCCTGAGGTAGGAATAACACTCCTTGTGTTTCACAAAGTTTGAACGCTTAAAGATCAGTCAGCTACAAGTAACAATACATTAAGAGACGTTTGACTGACTTAGATATTTTCCCTGTCTCAACAAATAAATAGCAGTTCCTTTGCTCAAAAAACCAAAAAGCAGTATCCAAGGTCACTCCCAAAAGCTGAGGAGGAGGGTGGGGGAGTTTGTTGCCTAAGCACTTTAGAGGAAAGGGGCCTTCTTTTTTAAACTTAGATTAATAACTTGAGAGCTAGCTAACTCAATCCAACCGCTGCTTAGCAAAGTCTTTAAAGTAACTCAAATTAAAAGGCAAGTCCACTTATGTATCTTACTACTTTTATGCATTGGGTAGAATACAGTTGGACTTCAAGATCTAAGTGGGAATTTAAACATGAAAAGTACATCATTTTCACTATTTACCAGTGAACTCTGATGATATCGTTTATAAATTATGCATTTAATTTATAACAAAAGTCATTATCATAATTTTAAAAGTATTTTATCAGCACATCTAGTATTATCTAAATGTAATTACTAAACCTAACCTAATTAGTATTATCTAACTTTTTAAAGGTAGGTTAAAAAAATATGTCTGCTGTAGAGGTTGCTGCTTCTTAACAGATTATAGAAGCTGAAAGCTGTGCCAGATGGCCCATTTCTACATACATATACTGTCAGATGGATACAAAGTCATTGCTACACCATTTACAAGAGAGGAATAAAGTATCTGATAAAATACTTCGTTACTGATAGAAATTAGGCTGACTTCAAATGCAGGGGAGTCTAACATCTCCTGGTATTTAGCATATTTTTCTGGACAGAACAGCAAATACCTAAATCAGTAGAAAATAATGTAAACTGTTTTCTTTTCAAAATTTTAAGCTTCCTAAATCTTAGTTTACCTAAAATTAGATAGATACAAAACAGAGTACAGCACAGTGTATGAACAAAAATACCTGGACACAGTCTGAGTGTTTTCAAATACATTAATTACTACAAAATACCCCTTAATAAAACCCTGCTAACATAAAGGTTTCATTAACTGCATTCATTGTTTTAAGGAAAATTAAACAAGAAGTATTAATTCACTACTTAGGAAGTTGTTTAAAACTATGAAAGTTTTAGAAAGTGCAGATCTATCACTATCACTACCTGTAAGTTCTAACAGATTTTTAATGTCAACTTTTTTACTGTTTTTTTTTTTCTTTTTCTCTTCACAAATCACTTTCTAACCAAACTTCAAAGCCTCCATGCTCTCATATGAGATTCTGCACAGGTTCTTCAGAGTTCCTGTTATATTTGACAAAGGAAATAGTAAAGAATAGGTTCGTTAGTGCTTACTACTGCAGTACAGTCACTCTAGCTCAACAGCGGGAAACGAGACTCCAGAAATGAGTCAGAACCTGGCTTCCTACTGCCTGCCAGCCCCAGTAAAAATATATTAACTTTTTCTCTGAATACACTGCCACAGTAATGCAGGAGTGATAGTCAAAGAGTAAAAAACAACTACATCAGTGCAGAAAGTTGCAATACCTACAGAGGAGTACAAATATATCTAAAACAAGGCAGCTAAAACATGCAAGAGCAGGGAAAAGAATCTTTGTCGCCATACCTAACAGTTTCTTCCAAGACTTGATGAGAGATTTCGCTAAAGATGTAACTTCTTCATCTGTGCTCTGCTTGCGTATTGCATTCACTGACATTCCAATTCTGGTAGACTGCAACAGAAATAAAATATACACTATAAAAGGTGACATGAAGACAATTTAACAAATAAACATATATAAAGTTGTACTTTGATATCAATTTTTAAAAGTATCTTTTTTCTTTGACTTTTGTGGGAATTTTTTTAAAGAATATCAGGATGAAATACTGCAAGCCTTTACAAAGCTTATTTTAACAGCATAGACATTTTAAAAAGAAATACCACAGTATTACCATTTGTTTCCATCACAGAAGTTTGGGGGTGTGGGGCAGGAGGGTTAAGGGGAGTCAATCAGAAGATTTTTTTCTTCTCAAACTATTTCGAAAAGCTCTGCAGAACTACTTACCTAAACTAAGTACAACCTCCAAAACATCTAACAACGTGAAAATCATACATAATGTCATAAATGTTATATAAAATTTTTAGCAAAGGTTCTAGCCTCAAAACCTTATTTTTCTGTGAAGCAATGACTGTATTTGTATTTCTGCATGATCAAAAGCTTGCCAACTGCTTCAGTGACTTCATATTCTTAGAATTCCCATTCAGCAGCTGTGGAAGACGCTGTAATATCAGTTGGGAGCGACCACATTTTAGGCTCTTAATAATTTTGGCAATACTGAGGATCTTTAAAATCTTAATCATGGAGGGTTCTGGTTTTAGACAGAAACAGTAAGACTAGCCTACCTCTCTGAAAAGGCCAAGATAGTGACAGGCTTTAAACCTTTGGCACTACTGCCACCTATAGAGTGAAAAGGAAATTAATTTACAATTCACTCCTTTTAAGATTTGGAAGATGAGGACATAAATTTAGCTCAACGGCATAAAACAATTCATTTTAGAAGACCTGTGACTAATGTGTTAATCTAACAAGTAGAACATTTCTACACTTTCAGCTTCATGAAAGAAGAAAAGCATTTAACAATACAAATAAGTATTCTACTATCATTTCATATTTTGACTGATGACTGAATTTTTTAAATTGTTCTCAAGACACTTGGTTTTGTTGCATTTACCATTTACGGGATTCACTAAACATAATTTATTCTACTTACTTTTGCAATTGTTCATCACATATTTCCTTCTTCTTTAAAGGAAAACTTAAATCTTTGTGGCTCACTAAAAATGGAAATGATTTGTTCCTGTAAATTACTCCTTACAACCCACACAACACTTTTTGGGGCACCATGGATGTGCTAAATGACTGGAAATGCACTGAAATATTCGGTAGCTATTTCAGCAAAGGAAACACATCAAATAACCTCAGGTCTGAGCATCAGCTCTAAACACTTATTTTGGATGAAAGAAAACAGATGGTTACTCACCTGTCACTAAAGTGTTTCAAGATGGACTCTGCTCACTCAGACTAACAGTACTGGCCAACTCTCTTGACATTTTAAACATATACTCTTGACATTATGTTCAGACAATAAAGAATAACATGTGCTTGAAACTCCATAAAATACTCAGCATACCTGAATGAGAAAAATGTATCTACAAAAAAAAAACCAATCCTCCATTGATAACTGGGCACAACCACAGCTGACTCATCAGCAAATAAGACAAGACAAAAACTTACAGACTTATTTAGGCAAGTAAAACTCAAAAACTCAAATTAAACTAAAAATTAACTGAATAAATTAATTTCTTCTTCTGATCATACAAGAGAGAAAAACTATGGTAACTGTCTCAACTGCCAGTTTTCTTAAGGCACTACATAAACATAGTTCATTCATTTGCTTTTATAGAGCACTTGACCTGGCTTTCCCTAAAGAGAGGGGAAGGAATAATCTACCAGTTTACTTGCTTGCAAACTGACACAGGTAATTGCAAAAGATCAGTGTTATAGTCTCAAAATGACTGTGCTTTAATGACAAACCAGCTGTCAGCATTTGAAATTTCCTCAGTCTTCCAGCCTATGGAGCAGTTCTCGTGAAAGCGATTTTAAGTGGAAAACTCCAGTACTTTTGCTCAGCCCAGTGTAACCTGTGAAACTGCTTTATCTCTGTACCAGTTTGTAAGTGTGCAGGTATATGAAAACCTTCCTCATCCTGGCCAAAATGCACTTTTAATGGCTCATTCTTTCCCACTTCAAATTCTAGAGCACTTTTCATCTGCTTTCTGAGAGTAAAGAGGCTCAGAGACAGCATAAGACAGCTTTTTTCACCCCTGAAGCATTCAAGCTGTAGGCCAAGCAGCCTTCAGTTGGTATGAGCAATGGTTAGCATAAGAAACCTACGACTGATCCCAAAACAAAACACACAGTGACAGTTACTCTTCTCCAAACCAGAACAAATGACAAAATTTAAGGAACATAGCTGGGGAAGAAAAGCAACCACCTGAAGTAGAGGTGTTACCAGCTTTAAACTATAAAAGAGTATGAGGACAGAGAATTGGTGAGCACCTGGACCAAAGCAGAGTCAACTCAACCCCTGAAGAATAACCACCTCCAGGTCACCAGGTCTCCCCAGCTCGCCAATGAACTGGCAAAAAGTTATTAACAAGCCATGTACATCACAGCCTAGTTCTGCATATGAGTGTGTAATTTCCAGTAAAACCAGTCTGTTAAAATAAAGACTGTCTGTCTCACTCGCTGTTCAGCTGCGCGCTACCCACAATGAGCTCCAGGGACACGATGATGCCTTTAATACTGTGTGGCTGCTAAACAGATTTGCAATTCTGACCACCAGATAAATCATGTGTGAGGAAGGCTACTGGCTCCCTGCCTAGCTGAGGATCAAGCTTGCTTACATAAAACTTGTTAGCTATGATACGGTTGTGTTATTGTCTGCAACCACTTCAGCTTTCTGTGACAAAAATCAGGTGAGAAAGACACAAGACACAAGTCCAGACTACCGATGTGCATCTTCCTATTCCACACACCTGTAAATTCTTCAGAGGACCTTGCCAGCTCAAACTAAAGCAAGAGTCACATTACAGGAAAAATCATCACTTCTCTTATTACACAGGAATAATGAAACTATCATATCAGCTAGCAGTGCTTTTCTCAATGTAGTCAGCTTTCAAAACTGCTTAAAAATGGGTGTAGAAGCATGCTTTTCACTTGTGCCCTGTGTTTCATCAATTCAAATACATCAACTGATACCTCAGCCTACACGGAGGAACTTAGTGCTCCCACTTTCTCATAATCACCACCCTTCTGGACATTAGCACATTAATGATCCACTACCAGAGCGATGTGTACGATTACTCTGCATTTCAACTGTTGCTCTGAGTCCTCCATAGCATCAGCAAATTTGGGAGATTAACACAGAAAATTTACGGCAGACTTTACATATTTCTAAAACTCTCAGCAATCTTACGCAGTGGAACTGTTCTGAATTCAGCAGTGGACACTTAAGAAAAACTTCCTAACTAAGCTACAGTCAATCTACTATGCAAGAGTGTGCTTAAATACCTGATCCCTTTCGACCTACTGTAACACAGAAATCCTTACAAACTCATATGGTGCCCATCTCAGTACAGATGAAAAACGGTATTTTACTGCAAATATTATGTCACTCTAAAAACAGGTACTTGTCATACAGATGGGAATAAATAAGATGCTTTCAAGTAGGATAGAAAACTTGACAGAATTAATAGGCTAACCTATATAAATTAAATCAGGGTCACACAAGTGCCCTAAAAGGCAGACAGTTGAGTTTGTTTGTACTTAGTAAGATTAAGAATCATCTTTTGTTGATAACACTACTAAGGTTTTCATTGCAACTAAAAAAAGAATAAGTTATCTACTTGTACATTCTTCACATCCTCACAGTTCAAGGGTAAAATTGTTCTGCTGTTCTGTGCAAAGCTTCTCCTCCTAGTCTCGTTCTTCACAATAAGCAGAACAGGTTTGTCTATCAGCATTTACAGGATTTCCAGAGCACTTGCAGAGAGATTTTTTCATTCCAAAGGCAAAAAACATTATTACACAAGTATTTGTACTAAGACCTGCACAAAAAACCTCAAAAGATTCAGGTTAACAGAGGGGTTTTCTGGGTTTTGTTGTTGTTTTGTGTGGGGCTTGAAGGTTTTTTTTGTGTGTGTGATTTTTTTGGGTTTTTTTTTTTTTAAGGAAGGAGGTTGGACACAGGGGAGAAGGCTGCAGCGACCTATCAGCCGCGCTCATTCATGCATGAAGGTGACACTTTCAAATTCCTATTTTCTGTCACAAACACTATTAGTAATAACGTACTAAGTACATTCTGCAAATATATAGGATGCATACATCAAGAAGTTACTTTGGAATGAAAGTTGTTCACTGACAAATTACTTGACAAACTGTGAAATTTGACAGGCAAATAAAGTTCAACAAGTTACTTTTTGAAAGAATTTATAAATAACGTATAAAATATCATGTTAGAGACATACATATAAGCAAAATTGGAGAGAGTATGCATGCAAGTGAGACAAGATTGAACCACAGCACCACTCCTGCCCAGGGGAGTAAAAGGGGAGTAGCAGTAGTAGTACAATTACCTTAAGAAATACAGTACTCAGAGTTACGTGGAAAAAGAGAAGGAAAAAAAAAAAAAAAAAAGGAAATAATCAAATATAATTTGCTTGAAGGTATGAACTACCCTTCTCCTCACTTACAATCCAAAACCAGAACTAACTACATAAGAAGGTATCAGCTGTAATCAGGTGCATCCTCCTTCAGAAGGAAGGAAACATCGTATTTGTATTAGTAAGAACTGAAGATTATACGTAAGGCAAGTTTATAAGCAGCTCTTCCCCTTTGTCCATGAAAAAATTCACTATTTTCAACCTAAACAGAAAGATAAGCTTTAAGAGCTTGCTCCTGGAACAAAACACTTCAGTGCCCTAAATCTGGGTGAAATAAGACTAGTCACCTATAGTAGTAAAACCAGTTCTTCTAAGGAGTTTCTACACAGGATTCTACTTTAATAGTGCAACCTTCTTCCAAATTTGCTGGCTTCACCTTCATCATTATGGAGTTAATATTTGCAACGTAACAACAGTAAGAAAATCATACCTGTAATAACTCAAGGGTCATGGGAATATTTTTAAGCTCCTTCAATAAATCAAGAGCTCCAGCCTGTAAAAAAGAAAGAGAAAAAAAGAAAAATAACTCAATTATTAGCAATCAGGTACTTCGAATATAGTATCAACAACATACTCCTATCTGCCTTCAAGGTCCCAAATTGGATTCAAACCATCAGTTCCCAATTTATCCACAGAACAACTCTAGCAGAAGGAATGTTCTGCTTCACAAACTCCAAGCATTAACAGGCCTTAACTCAGAAATCAAAGTATTCACTCAAAGACTAGAGAAGTTTTACCCCATATAATTCAAATATCAGTTAAAGCATTCTGTCAATTACTACTTAACCAAAACACATCCTCAGAAAACAGCCTCAAGGGTACTTCACTTCACAACATCAGAAGTAAGCCAGACAACAACAGTAATTTTCAGTTAAAAACAACTTCACCTGTTTTAGCACAACTTGGGAGTTGAGAAGCTCTGCACAGTACCTCAATAATGCATGTATATGTGCACATATAACTATATATAAAAAACATATATAGCCAACTTTCTTAACTGTATTTGCAGTGCTGTGGTAAAGCCAGGAAAGTTTACTGGTTTAAAAACTGTGATCAGATTACACTATTTTACTAGAAACAGCTATAGTCTCCCCAATAGAAAAAAGACAACCTTGTGAGTGTGCCTATAAACAAATACCCAAATTAAAAAAGCTGAGCAAGAGTTGCTTTCCAGTCTTATTTTCAGCTATTAAGTTTAAATATTAATTCAATGAAATACATAGGTTAGGCTGCCTAGATTAGTGCAGACAGCCTATACCATCATCACCAAGCAACATCATGTCCCAAACTAGAAGTCAGAGGCCATACTGATGTGCTGTAACATCTAAGCTAATGCAATTGTTTATTATTCAGCTGTCATGGGTTTTTCTTTTTTCCCCTTCCTCTGCCAAGACCATAAGGAAAGGTACAAACTAAGACTGTGTAAGCAGCAACTTTCTAGATAGAGGAGTTAATCTCAGAGATTGTACTGTTAGGCATTAACAAACTACAGGCAACTACTCTGACAAACAATTCATTCCTTGGTGATGTTGGCCTTACTTTAAAAAAAAAAAAAAAAAGTTTTCATAAGTATGAGCTCTGTAATGTACTTTAACCCCCACATCCTTGATGATTTACCACCTTTACTAAAGTAAAGTTCTGCACCATCCACTTCTTACTGTGCACATGGGCTGTCAGACTATAGCAGCCTCCTAAAGGATGAGATTATTTTGCTGTTATTCAAGTGCATGTGGTTCTCAACCTGTGAGCTACGAACAGCAAAGAGGCAACCACCTTTGCTTATAAGGGGCCACTCTACCCTGGCTAAGACCTTCCTGCCTTTTTTTTAAAAAAAATCATGACATTTGGAAATAAACCCTGCAAAATCCATCCCATAGATCCTTGGAATTTGATTCCTTTCTATTTCCTTACCTTTCTCTCAACTCATTCTATTTTGCTTATTTTAATACGCATTTTGTTTGCCTTTATTTTTAGATTATCCCTAATCAACTTCTAATATGACACTGTTGCAAGGAAACTCTTGTAACCTCCTGCTGCATCTGCAGGTCTTACAATTAAACCACTAAAGACAGCACATAAAATAACCACCAAGAGGCCGAGGAAGACGAAAGTGGAACTTCTGTGTCACATCCAAACAGGCACAGCTTTGGGTGCTTTCAATGTCTGCTACAACTTCTGTTTTTTAAACACATCTGACAGCAAATCCTCTAAAAACTAACATTTCACTACATCCCACCTTACACAAACCAAATTCACTCATAAAACTAAAGTTTTACTATTTTGCCATCACAGTAAAAGGTCTTATTTAACTTCTATTCATGATATACAAAACTTCTCCAATTTTAACCACAGAATTTTAGCAGCAATGATGCAAGACTGGGAAATGTCATGCTGTTTTCGGGTGCTAAATTGAGTTAGCATACTAAACCATTTCTTTCTCTAAACAGCCATAAGTGTTGTTTCTAATGTGCAAATATAGATCCAAGTAAAGCAAGTTAATTCTCTTCACTGCTACAAAACAAAATCAAATTCAAGAAAATTTTCTTAGCAGAAACAAAACAAATCACGAAAGTCAACGTGGCATTTAAAAAAATATAATCCAATTAACACTTACCTCCAAACCAAATAAGTTATTAGCAAACTGTACACAGTGTGTGATTTCTTGAAAATGTAATTATTATTGAAAATAAACACAGGTAACTGCAGTCTGCAATTTCAGCATAACAATGATGCTGCAATGCAAACTAGCACTCTCTTCACCTCACCTTAGAAACACAGTCTAGTCACAATTTGTTTGCCTTCTAAAATCCCAATTGTATGTGTCAAAACAACTTTATTATTCCTAGTCTAAACATTTTCCAAAACTAGTAACTCGATACATAGGAGGTTAACAAAACATGCAACAAGTAAAAAACCCCAGGTACTCTCTACACAGATGCCACCTACATTTCATGCTGTCTTCTGTTGCAAATTACCAAAATTTCTCATGCACTAATACTTTCTATGCCTTCACTCTTTTCTAATCAATTATATTAAATGTACCAAGAATTAGATGCTTTAAAATTAAATTTAAATTGAGTTTAAACTCACAGCATCTAAACAGTTTTTCATAACCACTTTTCTTACCATAAAGTCAGATATTCTCTTTTCATCAAAACCTGAGGAGAAGTTGCACAGTAAAACTTTCCAGTCTCATTTTTCTAATGTAAGACTTCTCTGTTTAAAAAAACCCAACTATTAAGAAAATTATTCTAAATCTTTTAAAGGTATTTCTAAAATTTTATAGAAAATGAAAGGCAATGCCCCATTCCACTATGCTGGTTGGCTTCCAGTTTACCTTGTTACTTGAAATAACTGAAGTCGACTTCATACAGATTTAGTAGCTCACTCCTCTCAGCTTCCCTTAGTTGATCAGATCGCAATACCAGAATGATGTTCTGTCTTCGTATTTTAAAGCTATGCTTCAGGCAATAGAAAACAGAGTATGTTTCTGAAGATAGCAGAGCTACCCCATTATAATTCTATTCTACTTCAGGAAGCAAACATTTAATAACATGGAAAATTTCACTTTTTCTTCTCTAAACTTACTCAACCGCTCTCGGTTTTATTAATCCATGGGTGCACCCTTATTTTTTACACCTATTCATTACAGCACCTTAATGAAAGAAAAGCATATTTACATACAACAAAAGCTATAAGGAAGGCACTACATGTGTTTTAATCCAATCACAGTTATTCTGAAGGAAGATTAATATCTATTTCAAACATGCAACCAATATTTGAAGTAACAGCAGAAGTATGTTTATCACAGTGTATTTAATATAATATTGCATTATTATTTTGTCCTTCAAAAGAAAAGAACTGCATATATCACTTCATTGTAATAGTTACGAAACCTGCACAGCTACAATTAAATCCTTAGTCAAGGCAAATCACCAAGAGCCTGACTCAGGAAGGAAGGGTGTCTGCACGGCCTGCCTTTTCAACTCATCAAAAGAAATGCCACACAGCACCTTCCCACAAGTCACAGTGTCACCTTTTGTACGAGAGATGAAGCACATCTTGTTATCTGAATCTTGACAACTTCAGAGTGAAAAGGTATCAAAGCTTTTTTTTTTTTTTTTTTTATTTTATTGATGGGTTTCATCAAATTATTCTCATTCAAAGACACACCAAAACCCCTGTTGTTGTTGAGTAAAAATGGGGAAGGGAATACAAGAGGTTGTGAGGAGCATCATTATCCAGCAGGTACTTATGTAAGACTGCATTTCTCAATTCAGCTTTATCTTTGTGAGACAATGAAGTACCTCTTCATAGAAATGATCTTAATAATTCTGCTAAAGTTAGCATTGTAACTGCAGGGCAGGATTAGGTAGGAAATCACTGTGCATTTAAAGAAGAAATACCTTATAAATGACAAAGACTAGAAAGAAAAACACAGACATCCCCTGGGTTAAATACTTCCTCTCCTATCATACAACTAAGAGTTTTTATCATGGTACACACATGTGCTTTGGATAAACTGTCAGATCTCCACTACTGGCCACGGAAGCAGCTCAAGCCCCTGGCCTTAGGAGGTTTTTGAGACAGCATCAAACTAACAACAGAGCCACTTGTGTGCAGTAACAAGCTGAAAGAGCGAGCTCTGTTCCAGCAAAGTACAAAAGCACAACTGCCTCTGGTGCTGCCCACACTCTTGCTCCTGGGACAGGGGTGAAGATGAAGACACAGCCACTGGCTCCAGCCAAGCACAGCCTGGCCCAGCTGGGCACGCTGCCTCTGGCCACATCAGACCTACGCTGACCCCAGCAAAAACACTGCATCGCTCCCTAGAGCTTTGAAAGTTAATTAGGTTACACACGATAGAGCGTGAATACATGTTCCCAGCTGCTGCTAGGAACTGCATCCAAATTCCTGAGCCTTCCAGATCACAGAGAAATACACGGGTGGTCACCAGGAGCACCGCTGGTATCGCTGCAGCACGGCTCCCCGGCGTCAAAACAGTTGTTCTGGTATCACCTGGGAGTTGCCACTTTCTTTCAGTTGTCAGAAGTCTTACAAATAAAATTGAATTGACTGCACTTTATCATTCTCACTACCACGATATTTAAATATTTCATAGTCAGTACGCTTTCACCCCTTCAACACCTCACAGGAAAGAACCACTACTTCAACTGTAGAGTCAGGAACATAAGACAGTGAATTCTTTTGTGCTGAAAAGCATGAAGAATAAAATAAAAAGAAAGAGGGAGGGAACAAAAGGGGGGAAAATAATCAAATGAATACACGTTGGTTGTAAAAAATTCTTTCCACTAGACAAGGCTCCTGTCTCCACACTGTATCATTAGAGGTTTCAAATGTACCAGAACCAAACCATACAATATTATGGAACATCAGGAATTCTGAAACACAGCAAAGCATGGCCTGTGTGTACTTGCAATTAATTTGTTTGTATTCTGAATGAAACAAATTTAATTGGTTTAATACA